TCAAAATTAATTAAAAAGATATAACAATTAGGTTTAAGGGACTTTCTAACCATAATCAAATTAGAAATTAGCTTTTGGATTGAAAATTAAGATTGTGGATTAATTTAAGATATAATTCCTAAGAATTAAAAGAAAAATTCTATTAAAATAGTAGTTTTATCACTAAAAAAAGATTTAAAGTAATTTAAGAAAAAAAATCATAGACCTTTTAAATTTAATATTTTTTCTTTTGAATTTTAAAATAGTCAATCAATCTATTAATTAAAAGTATCCATCTAATTAATAATCTAAAGATATGATCAAAATCATAATTAACTAAAAAATTAATTTGAATCTATTCATTAGTTATATTAGTATTAAAATTAATAAAAATATATTAAAAATTACAAAAATTATTGTAATTAATCATTGAAACTTTTAATTATTCTCACAACATATTTTGTAATATATACAAAATCTATCACAAGTAAAGAAACAACTAAGTTTTTTCTTAACAACATCTATTACTATTTGTGAAGGACATGAATTACAATACAATGATCCATTTTATTTTTTTACAAATAGAATTGGAGCTTTTACTGGAGATTTGGAATAGCATATGAAGTTTTTGGCCATAGATACTTCTAAAAATAAATTCAAATCATAAATCAATTGCAAATCCTTTTCCACTAAAGGTGCAAATCAAAAGAGAGTACTTCTTGATAGAAGTGTGCCTATAAATCCGACTAGAGTAAATCCATCCAAGTATTAGAAGGGATGCAACCTTAGATAGAGATTGACTTATTACAAAAATCCTCAAAATTTTGATCTTGTTCCATCAAACTTCTCAAGCATACTAATTCTTATCTCTGTTATATTTGTAGAAGCCAAACTCTTTAAATTTGGTTGTAAGGTTGATCTACTTGCTTCTTTCAACTATACAATTTCTTATTGTAGACTCTGAACTTCTTCTATATGCATAGACATAGTGCTTCTATAATTCAAGTTAGAAATACGTGAGATTTCTACTCTTAGAATGTTAATAAGCTCTTAAAGATCTGTAATAGTTGCAAATCTATTCTTATTTTTATTGAGAGTAGTATCCATAATCTTTTCTTTTATAGACAACTCAAACAAATTCAAAAAAATTAAATTAGAGGAAGATAATTTGTAATCTCTAATACCAAATAAAAATTTCTACAAAGAAGAATAATCTACTATCTTTAAGAAAAAGATTAATATTAGAAAATAAGATTTTTTGTTTACAAGTGGATAGTCCGCAACCTTCAAAATACAACAATAGAAGTGGAGTAATCTACTCACTTCTAAATCAAGACAAAAACTATAAGTTAAAACTTTTGACAAACTATCAAAGACATGAATCTTGAAGAAAGAAAATCCTCAATACTTTCTTATGACAATGAAAAGAAGTAGAAAGCTACTCAAAGATGATATAATATTGGACTAGAACGGCTATTACTAAAAAATAAAAAGACTAGAAAGTCTTAAAATAAGACTAAAGACTAGAAAGGTGTTGACAAGAGTGAGGAAGGCTTCAGTCTTCCCTCTATATATACTCTTAACTAGAAGTTATATGGTAATGTCCTATAGGACTTCTAAAACATGTTGACTTTGTAAGACATGTATCTTAACTTACAAGACAAGGTTTTTATATGTGCACCACACAGTTAACTTGTTTTACAAGCTACTAATACATGGTTAATTTGTCGACCAAGTTTTTAATCTACCAATTAACTACAAATACATATAAAGTCAAAGCAACATCTATAAAGCTTCTAGGAAGCTTTTCTAGAAGGTATTATAAAATTAACTTATTTTTATCTACTTTTACCTACTTCTATCAAATCATATAGGTATTTAGTAAAATATCTATATATATCTATGACATGAAGTTAAAAAGTTGTAGTCAGAATTCTTATTCATAATAATTATATAATACATATATATATATATATATATATATATATATATATTTAATAAAAATATTTTATATTAATATATTTATTTATTTATTTAAAGATAATATTATTTATTTTATATACTAATTGTATAATCTATTATTTAAATTTTTTCTTAAAAGATTTTTTTTATAATATATATAATAATCACATGCTTTTTTATATAATCCATCGCTTTTTTCAAAATATTATTGCCCATTATAATAATTTAGAAAGAGTATATCTTATGAAGTCAAAGAAATTTTGTGCATGTTCTTTTGTATGTTTTTTTTAATACTAAAAATGGCCTTATTTAAGTACAATTAGTTTATTATTTTTTTTATTTTTTTTATAAAAAAATAAATATTAATTTAATAATAATATATATTTTCTCATATGCTTTAAAAATAATTAATTGTGTGGATTTATTTATTCCAATTTGTTATTTATTTTTCTATTTCAACTTACTATTTTGTACTATTGTTGCATAAGTCACTATATCTAAGAACTTTGATTTAAGAAATTCTAGTTAAATAACTTTTATTTTAAAAAAATTGAGTGAATAAATAAAAATAAATTCTAGATACTCAAGATTTATTAGAATTATTATAAAGAATGCACCAAATAGTTTATATTGTAACCCACTCACTATTACGAAAACTAGCTTATAGATACTAGAGTGGTATTAGCAACCTTAAGACATAACAAAGTGCTTTGACTACATTTGTAGACTCTATGTTTTATGGAAATTTTGAAAGAATAATTTTAATAAAAAAAAATTATAATTATAATTATTTTTATATCAGATTTAAAATTTCAATGGTCTGTACATAATATTATTTAATTTTGAATTTTTATTTTGATAAAATTTCACAAATTGTTTAAACAAGTCTTAAATACATATTTTTTAGCTCAAGTTGTTCTAAAAGTTTTAAACTTGTTATTACCAGATAAATCTTAAAAAAATATTTTATTAAATATCTGATAATAAATTATTTATTATCAGAGATTTAATAATTGAAATTAAAAATATAATTTTAATTAGTTTATTTATTTATTTTATTTTAGATTTTTGTATAAATATTCTAGTATTATAATATGTAAAATGATATTCAATTTTTATTTATTTAATACACACACACGCACACACACACATATATATATATATATATATATATATATATCTAGGTTTTGAAATTATTAAAAAAAAATTAAAAATTAAATAATAAAAAGATTTCATAATATTAAAAACAATCGGTGTTTAATTTTCTTTTATAAATATGATTATGTTTTATGTTGCTTCGATAAGTAAAAGTTTTTTTTTTTTTTTTTTTTTGTTGATAAAAATCTATACTTTATTTTAATATATAGGGATAGATTATTAATTTTTAAAGTAAATTAGAAGAGTCTTAAGTTTGATGGCAAGTTAGATGCTTCAAATGGCTTGGTTTCTTTTTTGATTATTTTTTATTCAGCTACTTCTAATTAATATAATGGTTTGAAATTTGATTTTTCATTTTATTTCTAAACTGTATTTAATAATATAATCCAACCAATATTGCATGCCAATTTCTAAAATTTGGTTACATATACTAAAATAGGAGGATTTTGGTGTAAATTTTGTAATTCTATTTATGCATCCTTTTAATATATATTTTTAAATTTACTAAAAGTACCATTATAAATTCTTCAAATCTTCTAGAAACTCTAGTTAAAAAACAATTATGAAGATTATAGGAATATTTAGATAAAGTGAATATATAGTATTTTTTTGAAGATTTCCTTAAATTAATGATATTAATTTGGTTTTATTTCTTGTTAATAAATCTTTATATATTAAATATTATTTTTAAAATATAATATTATATATAAAATTTTTTCCACATTTCAAATATATATATATATATATATATATATATTATGAATAAGTTGTGGTTTTAAGGCATTATATAATATTATAACGTTAATGGTTAAATGTTTTAGAATCTTCAAAAGAATCATAACCAAATTATTATTCATCTTAAGATTGTTGAAGAACACCAAGTACTTGCTTAGTTACAACCACATAAAGTTTAAGCATAGTATGTTGCTAATAGTAAAAAGGCAGCAAAGAGGTAAACTTATTATGGTGGTACCGAGGCTTTACTAAGAAGAGGTAGAAATAGATGTAATATCAAATGGATGGAAGTTGCCTCGTTGATAAGCAAACCACTACCTATAAGTAAAGAGTGTTGGAAGTAAGAATCATCTTCCTCCACACTTCTATTAGAGTACAATACTTGCTGATGCTAAGTATTTGTAGCCTTTAGACTTCTTTTTCTTCAATAAAGATTAGTTAGAGTCAAAGATGGTAGAAGTGATTATAATTGATTGGTATTGAATAATATAATTTTGAAGCTTAATCTTTAGTTTTTATTTAAGTATGCTAATATATTATATTTTTTTATTCTTAATTTTAAAATTACATTATCTTTGAACAAATCAAAAACTTAAGTATTTACAAGACTTCATATTAAAAAAAATAATTTTACATGCAAGTAGGTTTATTTGTTAACTTCTTTTACTCTTATTATTTTGTTATTTTTTTTTATTCAATAAATTAGTAAAATATGATAAAGCAATTCCATTTAGAATAAAAATTAAAATGTTACATTGAATAATTTTTAACAAAGTTTCGATGTATATGAAAAATAAAATAATAAAGAATTTTAGTAATATTTTAAAATAAAGTATTATAATTTTGAATAAATATGACAATTAAACATGAAACATTACCCTCCCCTTTACTAATAATTCATGCTATTTATCATCAAACAATATTTATTTGTTGAAGATTCGACCACAAACTTGGATCTAAGAGATTCTTCTACATTCATAAATTGGTTGTTGGTTTGGATCCATACAAAAAAGGCTCCTGAGAGACCCTTTAAAGAGTTGGATGTGGGAGAGGTTCCTAACGTTACAATGTTTCTATTTTTGTAATGCCACAAAGAGAATTTTGAAAAAACTTCCATGACGGAGACCTCATACTTGGTCTAGGAAAGTAGTCAAAATGCAAAAGAATTATAGAAAAGAACTATTCAAAGACAATCATCCGAAATGCCTTCTTATTGAAAATTATTGGGAAAAAAGTACCTGAAAGAAAATAAAACTACTTAATGATCCTAAAATTACACGTAAATTTCAAACTCCACATTAGTTTCATCAAAGTATTTATGCATGATCCAAATATTAGATAGATGATGAATACTGTCTCATCGTGAAAAATAAGATGCTCCTAAATAATCATTCATCAAAATGAGTTTTACCGAGAACGGAATACTCCTACAGGCAGAGTGCACCTACCGTATCTCACAATTACGAAATGGATAACAACTCCTGTGGGGACGACAAATGAAATTCTTGAGATGAGTTTGAACTACCCTGGACCCAGTAGTGTCCCAAACCTGGTATTCCTACCAGTGATTGTAAAGCATGTAGACCATGGCGCTCAAGAGCGAGAAAACCACAAGAAACTGCACAAGGTAGAAGTAACAGTAATTAGTGCAAAACTCACGACACTAATGGAGCTATTGCCGTTCATCTGGACTGAAAAGATATTTTTAAATGAAACTCTAATGATTAACTATGCTTCTGGAAATTCACTTGCAATAACCAATATTCTTATCAAATATAGTGCAGAAAATTCGGAACAAAGACAGTGAAAAAGACATACCACTAAGATGTCTAGTCCGTATTCTTGATCTATGGAATATACGCGCCTGTCGATGAAATCAAAATAAAAGATTAATACAACTTACTAGATCTTACATATCAAATGTTATTTGATGAGAGTTTCAGATCAAGAGAAAAAATAGAATTCCACACATGCGGGTAGCCATCATCTTCATGAGTAAGTAAATATATTTGTATATGAAAACTTTTGGAACTTGGAAACAATTTTTTCTGTAGCGTAGAAAGCAAACAAGGAAAGTACTTACGTTTCAAGTAAGTGAGATTCACAGTACTCCTGTATGTCTTCGATATGTTTGCGAGTCGCTGATGCTGAATCATCATTCTCACCAATCTTTGGCATTCAAGACCCTTAGTTAGCTTAAACTTCCAGGTATACTAGATTGTTAAATATTATTAACCATCTTTACCTTGTAATTGCTTACTTGCCAGCCACAATTACTAGGCCTCAATACACCCACAAAAAGAATTCTAATAGTCCTTCCACGATTGGAGGACTTGGACATATATCGAGACAAAAAAATTTAGAAAGACAGTTGAAAGCGAAGCAGATCGACCTGCAGTAGGGCTTAATATGTGACATACCTTCTCAGCAATCTTTCTGGAGAAATCAAAGAAAGTTCCATACACGTCGGATATTGTCTTAGTCTGCATAACCTTGGCGGTTATTCCTGTGGCAGAAACAATCGGAGTTTGAGTCAGTTCACAAGAGATAGCGAAGTTTATGGCTTCTACATTCTTTGATGAATCATTTTCAGGAAACCTGCTACCCTCAAAAAAGAACTCACCTCGCCTAATCTTTACAACTCCCCTGAAGACGTTAATATTATTGTAGCACTCTGCAAGGGTTCCAATCGCCATAATCTGTTCAGGAAAATAACTGGGTCAACAGAGGACTTCAACGACCATACTTAGTTGGAACACCGTGAAGTTAGCCTCTAGATCTGCCAGTCCTGCCTCAAGCTGTATTCAGCAACAAATTTTGAAGTTACATTCACCGGAAAAACGAGCAAAGCACCCACAACCACTACTTGCTCATTTCTATCGTTAAATAAACGGGTAATGACAAACCTGGGGAATGGCACAAAATCGAAGATTAGATTCATCTTTATTTGCTTCTATGTATTTGAGGCAGTCTGTTGCGTGCGTTAGAGCATTTGTAATCATTGCATTCAGGCACCGCACAGCATTTTCTGAGTTTTCCTCAAGCTTGAAGTCCTATTTGTTTTAGCAATCATCTTAGAAAGTCACTATCTTTAACTGGCATGCTATACGAAAAATGTTCAAATTTATGACACTCTATATTCAAGTAAATTATACCACTTATATTCAAATTCGTTTGAACTGTAGAGTTGTAAATATTTGCATACCTCCAGTCTAGTTCCAAATTTGCCCCAGATTTCATGTGGCCAGAACATTCGAGGTGCAGGAATCTCATTAAT